TTTTTATATCTTTGTTAGAGGATATTTAGGATTTTATTTTGTGTATAAATAGTCTAGTGAGGTATGTCAATATAATTCATTGTAAATCATTATTCCTTATTTTTGTAGCGGTCATTAAATATATTCCTTTTACCTTTCATCTCTTCTTTGTGCACCAACAATTGGTATCAGAGCTCTGGTTCGAAACCCACGGGGAAAGTATTGTGTGACTGAGAATTGCAATATTTTGAATCTGTGTAGTTTGGGAAACACTGCTTTATTGAGTTTCTACGTAAATTGTACAAGGTAGAAGATAAACGGAAACGGCAGCGATATCCATTCCAAGCTTCCAGTTTTTTATGGCAAAAACTGGAATCGTTGGAAGATCCAGATCTGCATGTTGTTTGGTTCTCAAGATGTGTTAGATCTTGTCATCAATGGCTATGATTTGTTAGAAGCATACGCAACAGAGGCACAAAAGATAACACAGAAGACGCTAAGGAAGAAAGATCAGAAGGCGTTGTTCTACATCCATCATTGTATGGATGCGAATGTGTTTGAGAAGATTGTTAATTTTGAAACATCAAAGGCTGCATGAGACACACTGGTCAGATGTTACAGTGTGACGCATCAGTGAAGAAGGTGAAGCTTCCGTCTCTCAAAAATCAATATGAGAATCTCAACATGAAGGACAACGAGAATGTTTCTGATTACATCTCTAGAGTGATTCTGATCACTAATGAGATGAAAGCTTGTGGAGAAATCCTTTCTGAACAAGTAATCATTGAGAAGATCTTGAGATCTTTAACTTCTCAGTTTGATTACATTATGGTAGCAATTGAACATTCCAAAGATTTGAGCACCATGAGAGTTGAAGAGCTGCAAAGTAGTCTAGAGGTGTATGAGTTATGTATGACCGCAATAACTTCTGAGAGGGAAGTAGAGAAGCAGGCTCTGAAAGTAACTTTTGGTAAGAAGTATCAGAAGCAGACTTGGTCAGAATCCAGGAAGAAAACTAATGGTGGTCAAAGGTCATAAGCTTCAAACTCTAATAGGAAAAAGAATTTCCAGAAGGGAAAGGAGAAGTATGACAAGAATAATGTTCAGTGTTACTGTTGCAAGAACTTTGGTCACTATACCAAATAGTGTTGGTCAAACAAATAAAGGAAGTCAGAAGAAGAAAATATAGCCAGGGGAGAGTCTAATGATGAACCCGTGCTATTGTTGGCCTCTGAATCTGATAAAATGAATTCATCATAATGGTGGTATATGGACACAGGGTGTTCAAACCATCTTACTGGAAACAAGAAATGGTTGGTTGATTTTATTCTGGGAAGAGTACAAACATTAGATGTGTTGATGATAAATACCTCAACGCAGAATGTATGAGAAATGTCAGAATCATTTTAAACAATGGGAAAGCAGTAGTGATCCAGAATGTATGGTATGTACCTAGCATGAAAAGAAATATGATGAGTGTGGGACAACTGATTGAGAAAGGTTTTTCGGTTACCATGAAGGAAAATCTTCTGAAGCTGTATGACTGTAATCAGAAGCTGATTATGGAGTCAGAACAGGGAAGGAACAGAACATTCAAGGTGAATGTTAGAACTGCAGACTCTGAATGCCTTAGTGTAACAAGTGTTGTCAAGGAGAGTGAGTTGTGGCACAAAATATTTGGTCATCAGAATTTCAGAAGCTTAGGGCATCTGAAATCAAAGAAGCTGGTACATATAATTCCTATAATCAAGAAGCATGAGAAGTGATGCAAGGTGTGCATGGAAGAGGGAAGCAACCAAGATTACCGTTTGTATTAGAAGTAGCTCCAAGAGTAAAGCATGCCTTAGGAGTAGTGAATTCTGATGTGTGTGGTCCATTTCCAGTAGCATCAACTAGAGGGAATAAATACTTTGTGTCATTCGTTGATGAGTTCACCATAATGACATGGGTATCTCTCAAAAAGTTCAAATACGAGGTGTTTGCTAAATTCAAGAAGTTCAGACCGAAGGTTGTGAATCAGAGTGGCCAGACTCTGAAGATTCTTAAAACTGATGATGGTGGTGAGTATAACTCCACAGAATTCAGAAGGTTCTGTGAGGAGAATGGAATTGAGCATGAGGTTGTTGCTACCTATACTTCTCAACACAATGGTCTTGCTGGAATAAGAAATTGTACTTTGCTTGATATGGTGAGAAGCATAGTGAAAGAGAAGAAGCTTCCTCATACTCTGTGGGGAAAAGTTGTTGCCACTGCATGTTATGTGCTCAACAGTTGTCCAACAAAGAAATTGAAGGAAATAGTTCGTATTCAGAAGTGGACTGGAGATAAGCAAAGTATTAATTATCTGAAGGTGTTCGGTTCCGTATGTTACAAACATGTCCCAGAAGCCAGAAAATAGAAGTTGTATGATAGAAGTAAAGTAATGTTACTGGTGGGGTACCACAATACAGGTTCGTACAAACTTTATTGTCCAGAAACTAACAAAGTTGAGTTCAGCAGAGACATCATTGTAAAGGAATCATAAGTTTGGAATTGAGAAAGGTCTCGTCCTGACTCTGATGAGAGAAATCCTGAAGAAAAGTCAGAAACACGTGTTTCTGAAGCTGATAAAGACTCTGACTCTGAAGAAGATACAGAAGGAGAAGATGATTCTGACTCTGACTCTGATGGTGATTCAGACTCTGAGAATTTTCTAGGCTCTGAAGACAGTCAAGGTTTTGGAGAAAGTCAAATTTTTGAAGCAAGAGCTTCTGAAGGGGAAAGTCCTAGTGTCCAAGGTTCTGAAGTTCAAATTCAGAGGCAACAAAGAGTCAGAAGCATCCCAAGAAGATTTGTAGAGTTTGACATGTTACAAGACACTGAAGTAGACTCCGAAGGAGAAGTTATTCAGTGTGCAATGTTAGTAGACTTTGAACCCATGAGTACGGAAGAGGATCTTAAGCAGCAAGTCTGGTTGCAGACCATGAAAGAAGAACTTGATGCTATAGAGAGAAACAAGACTTGGAAGCTGACAAAACTTTCAAAAGGCAAGAAAGCCATCAACGTTAGATGGGTTTTCAAGCAGAAGCTAAATCCAGATTGATCAATTGGCAAACACAAAGCAAGATTAGTAGCAAGAGGCTTTCTACAGAAGCATAGGCTGGATTACTCTAAAGTGTTTGCACCTGTAGCGAGACATGAAACAATCAGACTACTGATTATAATAGCTGCTAATAGGAATTGGCCTCTGATACACTTAGATGTAAAATCTGCATTTCTGAATGGTCCATTACAAGAAGAGGTATACATATCACAACCTCCTAGATTTGAGAAAAAGAATCAGGAAGGGATGGTGTTCAAATTACACAAAGCCTTGTACGGATTGAAGCAAACGCCCAGAGCTTGGAATTTGAATATTGATTCCTTTTTCAAGGGACAAGGGTTTCAGAAGTGTGAGATGGAGTATGATGTTTATGTTCAGCATACTTCAGAAGGTAATATGATTCTGGTCTATTTGTATGTTGATGACATATTACTCACAAGATGTTCTGAACAAGAGATAACTGAGTTCAAGAAAGTTCTGATGAATGTGTTTGAGATGACAGATCTTGGGAAAATGAGTTTCTTTCTAGGGATGGAATTTATGTACTCTGAGAAAGGCATCATTTTGCATCAGATGAAGTATGAACTTGAGCTTCTGAAGAGATTTGAGCTAGAGAATTGCAAAGTTGCTATCCCACTTGCTGATACGAATCAGAAGTTGGACTCTGATTCTGATGGAGAGGATGTGGATGCTACAGCCTTCAAACAGATGGTTGGTTCTCTAAGGTATTTGTGTAATACCATACCTGATATTTGTTATGCAGTTGGAATGGTTAGTAGATTTATGAGTAAATTAAAGTGGTCTTATTATCAAGCTGCTGTCAGGATTCTGAGGTATGTGAAGGGAACTCTGAAGTATATAGTGTTATTTCCGTATGGAAGAAAGATCGAATCAAAACTTATGAGTTATTCAGACTCTAATTGGTGCAGAGATAGAGTTGACAGAAGAAGTACTTCTAGGTACTTATTCAAATTTCTAGGAGATCATATTTCTTGGTGTTCCAGGAAGTAACCTGTTGTTGCACTGTCAACCTGTGAAGCTGAATATATTGCAGGCGCTCTGACTGCATGCCAAGCTGTGTGGATTCTGAACTTGCTGCAAGATCTGAAGATTGAAGTAGAGAAATCTCTGAAGCTGATGATTGATAACAAGTTTACAATCAATCTTGCCAAGAACTCAATGATGCATGGGAGAAGCAAGCATATTGAGACCAAATATCACTTTCTGAGGAATCAAGTTCAAAGCAGAATATTAGAAGTTGTGCATTGTAGCACCCAGAAGCAGTTGCCAGATGTTCTAACAAAGGCTATCAAAACGGATCAAGTTCTTAGTTTGAGAGATAAAATTAGTATTGTTAATTTTGGGTAAATATAAATTAAGGGATGACGTTAAAATTAATTTATATTTTAGAAATATCTTTTTAGATATTAATTTATATTTTAGGAATATCCTTTTAGATCTTTTTATATCTTTATTAAAAAATATTTAAGATTTTATTTTGTGTATAAATAGCTTAACGAGGTAGTTCAATGTAATTTATTAAAAATTATTTTTTATTTATTTTTATAATCGAATATATTCTATTTATCTTAGATCTTTTCTTTGTGCACTAACGATTATAGCAAAAAGACAAAAAAAAAAAAAAAATTATGTAGAACTAATTTTTAGATTAGGATATTGTCATTACAGGAGAAAGTGTATCTCTTGGAATATAGCTATCTTTTCATTTACACGCAAAGGTTTACCAAAAGGCAATAACATGATTTGATTTATTCAAGTCGGTGAATGTTTCAAAAACAAGAGTATTTAAAAGAAAGAACAAACATATATAGGAGTAAATTTCATTTCATATTAAATAAATAGGAATAACATCTAGATAAAAGTAAAGTAAACTTAATAATCGAAATTTCAACAACACCAACCAATAACATGCATAAAACTAGACCTCTTTAACACCACCAACAGTTCCATTGACTTTCTTAATCTCTTTCACATCACTTGCTTTCTCTTCAACTTCAAAAGCAGAAACTGGGAAGGTTCTAGAAAGTCCAGCAGGTGTTTGGAAAGTGATTTTACCAGTAGGTGGATCATCAACATAGATATCACTAAGTGTAATCCAAATGAAAAGCTCTTTTGTTTTAACACCATTCAGTTTCTTAATCTTACCTTTTTCAACATGAGCTGTAACTTCAGTAGCATAAGAAACAAGTTTTCCAATCTTTTCAAACTTGTGTGTTATGCTATTCTTCTGTTTCAACCAAACAAAACCTGTTTCTTCGTTGTAACCAACTTCAGTGATGTCTTTCAATGGTAAGAGACCATTGGGGAGAGTAACTTCTCGAAGAAGCTCTTTGGTTTTCTGTTGGCAGATTTGGTCTCCATGGTATACCTCTGATTTCGATTTGATTTCTTCTGTTACCAACGACATTGATTTGAGTTACTGTTATTCGAAGGAAGGTGATGTTACTTTTTGAGTTGTTTTGGTGTGTGGTTTCAATTGGTTGTGGTTGGGTTCTTATATACAACTCAATTTATGAAAACAGGCTTCTATTTTTCGTTAATTTCAACAATTGCCATTGTTGTGTATTAAATGCCACATTTAATTCTTTATCTTCCATAGCCAATAGCCAGCGACTAAATTAAAATGTTACAGTTAAATATATTTTTTTATTACATCATAATATTTTTTTATTAAAAGCATTTCCTGTTTTCTCACGTTGAGACTGCATTGTTGGTATAAAACAATTAAAATTCTTAAAATTCTAATGTTATTTCAGTATTTTAAAAATAAAAAAATGATTTATTATAATACATGTCAGTTATTGAGTACAAATATTTCATATTGTTAGTGTATTTTTTTTATATCTCTTGAAAAATATAAGAGAAAAAAAAGTATTTTTGTTGTCTTAAAATATAAGAGAAAAAAATAACTTTCATTTTTTTTAAAATAAAATAAAATACAAATTATATTTAATTTACCATCTCTCTTATCTTTTCTATAATCAACAACTAATTAGAATTGTCTTAACATCTTCGTATACATTTTTTTAAATTAAAAAAAAAAACCACAAGTCAAATCTTTATCTCTTTACTTTTCTTAATAAGGGTGATTTTATTTATTTTTCTTATATTGTGAGACGGATAGAGTATTTAATTAAAATACATGCTATTAAAATGGTTTGTTAATATGATGTTCATTTTTTTTTGTTAAAGACTTGAGATACGAGGGTATATTATTTTTAAGATTTAAATTGAAATTCTCTTGGGTACCAACAATTTGTCGTGCCACTATAGAGTTTTTGTTCTGATTTTAAATTGATGATTACTCATTTTCATAAATCGACATCCATCAGAATATGAAGTCATTAGTTTAAGAGTTTGAAACCTCATAAGCTTTAAGTGAGAAAATTTGAGAAGTTCAATAGAAGAATTGATGGTTCACAAGATTTGGAGGAGAGAGAGAGAGAGGAGAGAGAGAGAGGAGAGGAGAGAGAGAGAGAGAGAGAGAGAGGAGAGAGAGAGAGAGAGAGAGTAGAGAGAGAGAGGAGAGAGAGAGAGAGGAGAGAGAGAGAGAGAGAGAGAGAGAGAGAGAGAGAGAGAGGAGAGAGAGAGTTACAATAAATTTGTTGAGAAAGAAAAAATTATATTCACAACTTACTCTCTACTACAAAACCCTAGTTACAAACTTGTTTATATACACAAAATAAACTATCACGTTGGTCCTAACAAAGTATGCTTAATAGCTAAGCTAACAAAACAAACTAGAATCCTATAAGCTAAACATACTTCTGAGACACAACTTCAGAAGCTTCTGTTTCTGACTAACACAAATACTTATGAATATGAATTACTTCTAACACCATACCTTATTTCATTCTACAAACATCAATTTCATCCCTCAAATGGATAAAGTGTTTAGGTCTTGATAACCTTCGTCAGAACATCTGTAAGTTGTTTCTGGGTGCTACAGTGCATAACTTCTAGGCCACTCCATTTTGGACTTTATTTCTCAGAAAATAGAACTTTGTGTCAATGTCCTTGCTCCTCCTATACAACATTGGGTTCTTAGCAAGACTTATGGCATATTTGTTGTCTATCATCAGCTTCGCAGGCTTGCTTACCTTGATCTTCAGATAATGGAAACAAATTTATCAGCCAAACAATTTAACACGCAAACAAAGCACCTGCAATATATTCAGCTTCACAAGTTGACACAACAACCATCAGTTGCTTCTTGGAGAACCAAGAAACGTGACTTCCCAAATACTTGAAAAAATATCCAGAAGTACTTCTTCTGTCAACTCTGTCTTCACACCAATCAGAGTCTGAATAGCATATCGGCTCAGCATCAGATTTAGCACCGAAAGAGAACAACACTACATACCTCAGAGTCCCTTTAATATACCTCAAAACCTCAAGTTCTTCTTTCATGGCCTTCAACCACACTTTCTTCTTGACAACTTCTTCAGTACTAACTGGTTCAGAGTCTACTAACATGGAACACTGAATGACTTCTCTTTCATAGTTTATCTTAGTATCTTGCAACATGTCAAACTCTACAAATCTTTTTGGTGTTTATCTGATTCTTTATTGCCTCTAAACTTGTTCAGAATATTCTTCCAATTCTTGAACAATATCAGATGTTGGACCACCTCCAGAAGTTCCACCTTCAGAAGCATGAACTCCTTCAGAAATTGGATTACCACCAGATTATGGACCATCATCAGAATCTGGATCAGAATTATATTCACTTTCAGAATCAGACTCTCCTTCAGAGTCATCTTCTGCTTCAGAATCACCTTTAGACTCTGACTCATCTTCAGAACCTTTAGAATAATCTTTTGAATCTTACTTATCTTCAGAGTCTCCTTTTGACTCTGACTTATCTTCAGAACCTTCATATTCTGAACTATATTCAGAAATTACATCAAGTGTTAATACTACACTAAGGTTGGATTGAGACTTGCTTCAATCCCATTCTTCTGACTCCTTCACAATGACATATCTGCTGACTTCAAATTCAGAGTCATCTTCTGATTATAACTTATCTTCAAAATCATACTCGACTTCAGATTCAGAGTTATCTTCTGATTCTTACTCATATTTAAAGTCTCTTTCAAAATCAAAAAACGTCAATTGCACAGGTTCCTCATCAGATTCATAAGTCATCAATAACACAAGTTCATCATTAGAATATCATCTGGCTATGTTTGATTTTTCCTTGTTTTACCAACAATCTTTAGCAAAATGGCCAAACTTATTACAATAGTATCACTGAACCATTCTCTTGTCAAGCTTCTCATTTTCCTTCTAATGTTTCTTCTCGTCAGAGTATAAGGCTTTTGACTTCTGAGAACTACCACCATGTCTCTTCTTGAATTCTGACCAATAATGCTCCTGATCCTTCCTAACAAAATAAGATTTCAGAGCCTACTAAACCTCTCTTTCAGAGGTTCTCTCAGTCAGACACAATTCTTGCGCCTCTAGACTGTGTTGCAGCTCTTCAATTCTCATGGTGCTCAGATTATTGGAATGTTTAATTGTTATAACAATGTAATCAAACTAAGGAGTTGGTAAGTGAAAATTGTATCTATTTTTGTATATACTTTTTGTTGCACTTATCGACTCTTTGTTGTTAATATCGGTTGAATAAACCCGACTTTTGTGTAAATACGTTTAGTTTGTACATAATTGAGTTTTGATTCATTTGTGTATTGTTAGATAGTTTTCCATTCATTTTAAAATTATTTGAGCATTGAGTAATAAAAGCTCCAAGATGTATTTTTGGAACAATAAAAGGAAGAAGGCAAAGAAAGAAAGCCAAGAAAAGAAGTTGAGTTTTGTTGTTTTGTCACGTGCGTCAGGCGAAGCCAGGGCGAGTTAAGCGTCGGGCGAATCCCGAGCGAGCTGAGCGCCAGGCTGAGCACCAACGGTGATAAGGAGAGCTGAGCGCCAGGCTAAGCATCAATGGTGATAGGGCAAGCTGAGCACCAGGCTGAGCATCGTGCGAGGCAGGAGCGGTGCGAAATGATAAAAATCTCGATGCTTCTGTCTTGGCCTCACGTGTGTAGCTTCGAGCGAGACTTGAATGAAGCGCCGATCGGTGGTTGTGAGCACTGTGCGGTAGAAAATATTTTTTCCATTTTTTCTTGCATGGTGCAAGATGAGTGGATGAATAAAAGGCAGCGCTGGGCGGTGCGTGTCTGATCCAATTTTGTATTTAGGTTGTAAAAACAGATTTTTAGGGATGGTTTTTGGGGTATTTGTTCCCAAACTCCATCACTCTCATTCTTTGATATATTAGCTTAGAAAACAATAATGGAGCTTCCATACAGATGATCTGGGGTGGATTTCTCATTGATCGGTGCTGACAACCCGTGAGATTTGTGGTTCATTTCTCTTCTTCTTTGTGTATTCTTAATTTTTTGGGTTTTGTATACATATTTACTTTGAACTCATGTATATTTGTTTCCCATGGTGTTGTATAAAGCTTGCTTTACAAATTTTTGTCGATTATTATCCTGGATTTTCGCTCTGTGCTTTGGGGTTTGGGTTGTTATACATATACTGTTCAAATTCTTATCTAGCGTGATTATATAATAGTGTATAGATTCTAGAGATAGATTCTAGAGATAGATTTAGAGCTATTATTCACTTGGGTGCCCGTGATTAATGCTTCTGTGTTGCTTGTGTTGCGCTGAGAGATCGTCAACCCGAGTAACACGATTGACTTCTGTGTTGTTGAGGTTGGTTGAGAGATCGCCTCCGAGATAATATAGTTGGTGTTGTGTTTGATACGTAATGACATTGATGAGTATTGTATATTGATTATAACTGGTCGGTAGGTTTGAGTTTGTGAGGAGTGAATTATATGCATGCTCGATAAGTCTCTTCTCTGAAGAATGAATTTTTTTCTTGTTCATAACTTTTAATTCCCGCATTTACCATATTAAACCCATTCAAACCAAACTCATAAATGTGATAAATTGTCGAACGATAATTCAGTAGCGCTAATCCCTGTGGAGACGATATGATATAATCTATAAAAATACTTACTTTTGCTTGCCGCTTTACCACTTCAGCAAAATGGCGTCGTTGTCGGGGATTGGTGTTTTTATTGGGTCGCATTTCGATAGTTTCTTTGTTTTTGGGTTTTGTAGATATCATATATATATTGTCTATTCTCACTTGTGCATTTATTTGTTTATGTTTATCAAACTTGTGAATTTTACATGTTTTGCATACTTGTAAATTTAGTGTATATGTTTGTTTCTCTTCACGTTTGCTAAGGTGTTTGGTTAGGTTTCGTCGTCGGTGAGCGCTGACCGTGTAAAAAGGTAACTTGGAGAAGTGTGTATAAATAACAAACATCGATCTTACGACATAAAACAAGCATGTTTTTATTGTTTTAAGTTTCTTTATTTTTTT